TGCCTGGAGTGTCAGACGAATGATGTATGGCTAAGATATGTGCTTACTTTTGCTGCCATGTGGACTGACGGCCCCAACCCGACCGGGCGCCAACTTCTCGTGCCCCCGCCGTGCCCCTTCCAGTACAACGAGGAAAGGATATGTGTATGCGATTGGGACGTACGAGAAATCGTCGCCAAGATCGGAGGGCGTTACTACTTTCCTCCCGAAACTCGGTGCTCTGGATTCGTTGGTGCGGGTTTTGTTATCATCGATACGCACTTTCCGCCATATTCGTTGTTATTGCCCTTTAACGAAGTGATCGTCGTTCCGTGGACGGCAGTGGAGCCTCATAGGCCTTACACTTCGTGCAGCGATTGTCGTCGCCTTGAGCGTTATCAGGCCAAGGGGTTCCACTATCGCACACGCGGCGAGGACGAAAACCAAGAAAAGGCCACTCGGTTGAGGCCCTCCACGTCGGACTCGGAGTTGTGTAACGAGCGCCGACGAGACCTCATCCGAAAACGGTATACCACGTGTGTACCCGCCCCCTTTCACGCGAAACGAAGAGCGACGGCATTTGGGAAGTCCAGCGATAGTTTTTGGATTGAATTTCCCATAGTTGTGAGTCCCGCACGCGCCTTTTTCTCCCTTAAAACCTGCGCGGCGACGTACCTTCTTCTTACTACAGTCGAACCAACATGGGGGATTTCAGTTCCGTCTGTGTCCCCGCACTCAATTTTCCAAAAACCCTTGGCACACCCCATCTTCGCTGCCTTTCCCGGGCCCCTTCCGCAAACCACAACGCTCCGACCGGAAGGTAGCGCAGGGCGTGAGGTCAGGTAGAGAAAGAAAGTGGTAAGAGCCGATCCTGAGCGCGAACGCACGGAGCGCTCCCGCCCGACGAGGTTCGGCGGGCATCTGCTCCAGGTCCTCGGCTTTGCCGAGGTCGTCTACGTAAAAGTGGAGGGTCACGGCGGCGTGTGGTGGCGGCCATGGCAACGAAGCTCTTGTGAGCATCGGGTCTACTGTTACCAGAGTGTCTTTGCGCAACAAGAGGAATGGCATCAAGCAACGGGAGCCGGAACAACAGGTGAGTCAACGTCATCCACATGGATTCAGATGGGGACCTCCAACGAGCAGCTGATGCATGGTTATCCAGCATGGAGGACGGCAGGCGGCATCTTCAGCAGTTGGTTTCTCTCCTCTCTGACTCAGCTCCGCCCCCACCAGCAGTCGTTGGGGGAGCGATTTCGGGGGGGAAATGGGTGGAAACTATGTTGCAGACGATGTTGGAGGTTATCTGGGTGCTGGAGGAGGGGCCGGCACTGGAGTTGGACGAGTTCGTTGACTGGCGTCGGGTGGACGCCCTATCCAACCAGTGTTACTTACTCCTTGATGAGGGGGTCAAGCGAGGTGCTGACTGGGTCAAGCGCGCAGGAGGGGAGCTGCCAATCTCCATGATGGCTTCAGTCGCACCACCAGCACCGCCTCCAGTTTTCTCGCAGAAACATACAAGCAGGGTTTCATCACCTGCATCAACAACCATTACCGCTGCGCCTGTCACAAAGAGCACACGTGATTTGGGGCGCTCAACGACTGAGATGGCGCACAAGACGATGGCATCAGCGACGTCAAATATATCGATACAGCCAGCGACTGCAAAACTCACATCGGCACATGCCGTCAACAACAACAACAACAACAACAACTATATCATCAACAATAATTCTGAGCACGACGGTGACATGGAAGGACGGATCCTGAGTTCGTGCACGCCCGAGAGTGACAACAGCTATAACAACATCAACAACAATAACAAGGACAGCGACAACGACAACAACAACAACAACAACAACAACAACAACAACAACAACAACAACAACAACAACAGCAACAATACTGAAGGTGTGGTAAGTGTGACTGGTCGCTGTCTTCCCCCCCTCCTCCCTTCCCTCTTGTTTTCCCTCTTCTGGTTTGCAGGTGTAGAGTGGGGGGTAGGGCGAGGAGGTCGGTCAAATGGATTGTTCGGTGGACTGGAAGGGTGTGTGGGGGAGCAGGGAGTGGGATGGCGGCGCGAAGGGGTGGGATAAGGAATGCTAGATTGCCAGGACTGGGTTGGGTGGAACCTCATTGGTTGGCTCCACGCCCTGGTAGGATTGCTCATGTGTTCGTCTAATGTTTTTGCCATGTGGATCTGGCGATCTTATTCTTTGGTCACGATTACTAGATGCATAGGTATTGGCCACGTGGTAGGGCAGGAGGCGCCGTGGCGAGATGTCGTCAGTGCCGGGACGCTCGCCAGATTTGAGGACCCTGTCACAGTGGCGGCGAGATTACAGACGTAATACCTAGGTTTAATTAGGAGTATTGCTCAACTCGGGCCCTGTCACGTCTCCCCCTCCCCTGTCATGATGTGGCAGCAAGATTGCAGGTGCAATACCTAGGTTTAATTAGGAGTATCGCCCAACCCAGGCCCTGTCATGTCCCCCTCCCATGATGTTGAATGCTTCGGGCAGTGGTAAAAGAGTGGAGTAGGGTAGGGCGATGATGCTGGGATTTCGTGGTGTAGTCAATGTTCAGTCCCTGCTATGGTCTCCCCCCCTTCGTGATCTTCAGTGATTCATGTTGCAGTAACTGAGTGGTGCAGGGCAGGGTGTTTAAGCTTGGATTTCGATGAGCAGTTAATCCCCTCTACTGAGGGCAATCAATGCTGCTCATCAATTATGACAACCGCATTTCTGTTCGATCAAATGATTACAAATGTTCAGGGACGCTGGACCCACTTTCCAGCAGGTGTTGCTCCCCACCAATAGATGGAGCCTGGCCGACAGTGCTAGTGGTGTCTGCTTCTATCAGCACCTCTAGCATTAGTTCGGCTTGACTTGTCAAAAAAAAAAAAAAAAAAAAAAAAAAAAGTCAAAGTCGAAAAAAAAAAAAAAAAAAAAAAACAAAAAAAGGGGGCCGGCCCGCCGGGGGTGGGGGGGGTTCCTTTTTTAACCCCCCCCAAAATTTTTTGGGGTTGTTTTTTTAAAAAAAAAAAAAAAAAAAAAAAAAAAAAGAGTTTCACAGGTAGCGGCAGCCAATGGTTGTCCTGACAGGATAGGCCACCTACCCTACCCATCCCCACATTAATACTCCCAGCGCACCCCCTGTCCCTACTATCCTACCTCCGTGTGACCAGCACTCAGGACCATCACCCTACTTGGACCAGACAGCAGTGACAAAGCACCAGGGCTGGGCCAACCTCCCAGCCCTAATGGAAGCGGAAGCGGACAAACCTTGCTGTACGGGAACTTCAGACGCCATCGTACCGTCCTTCCCCTAGCTTACCGAAGGCTAGGCGGAACTCAGACTAGCCGGAGCGACTTATATCCCTACCCTACCTCAGAGCGAAGCCATGCATGCGTAGACCCCGTGATACACCTGATAGACCCCCCCAGCCCAGTATCGTTAGTTGTGTATATGTGTGGCCAGAGGCTATGTATGTTTGTATGAGCCCATAGGGCCATGTTTTTTGTGTCTGGCCGAAGACTATGTGTGCTCTGTAACTGTATAGCGAGGTGCCCGAAGGCCAGATATGTGCAGTACTATGAAGAGGGAACTATGTGTTCGTTTGAAGAGATGACAGGCCAAGCTGGACAAGAACCCCCCCGAAGTTCATAGCGAGACTCGAACCCGTGATCTATGTATGACATGTGCCCTGAAGACTCTACCATTTGAGGGACAATAGCAAAAGGCCCCTGTCTGTGATATGCCAGACTGGGGACATCAACAGAACAAGGATGAGCAACAGCCACAAGCAACCCATGCAGTATCAAGACCCTACATACAACACCATGGACAACCCTTGGGTGGTGCGCAGGCAGTGTCTGTATAACCTTACCTGCATCAGCCCAAGGGGTTGTGTGTCCAGCTGTGACGCCCTGCCGGTGTCCATGCACAAGGCTGCAGGTGAGTTTTGAACCCGCAACCTCAATACCACAATGCGAATTTCCAACAAGTGCTCTAACCACTGAGCTACTTGTGTGGAACGTAGAGAGAAGATTAGCATGGCCATGACCCCTGCGTGAAAAAAGAGAAAAGAAAAAGGGGTGATAGCATACGCTTGTCCGTGAGAGGAAGAAAGAAAAAGAAGAAAAGGGAAACAGAGGAGGATGCACTGGCAGAGCAGAGCAGTGCAGAGGAGGGAGCCGCCGGGACAGAGGCAGAGAAGTCAGTACCAGTACCAGAGGGAGAGGGACAGATGTGAAAGTGGCGAGTACCAGAGGGAGAGGGACAGAGAGGTGAAAGGTGGTGACGTTGGTTTGTTGTCGGTCATTAAGTTGGCGCCAGTCCGTCGGAAGGTGCCGCGCCGCGCAGCGCAGCGGATGACTTTGATTGATTGATGATGGACGCGAGGTCTCTCCGCTGTCTGCGCGTGGTCCTGCCAGATGTGATGTGTGCTGCTGGCACGTGTACATCTGTCGGGACACAAGGCGCACGCCGCCCCGCCTTGACCCGCTGTCGGGATCGTCACGATTGCGGCGGTTCCGTGCGGGCAATCGGCAAACCCGTGACGGGCCTGGTGTCGGTCCCGGTCCCGGTCCCGGTCCCGGTCCGCGCAGCTTGCGGAGCAAAAGGGAGTGCAAGTGGTGCGGCAAAGGCGAAGGTGGAAGGGAATTTTTGTGGCAGGAAGGCGCAGGGCTCACGGCGGGAGTTGCCCATTTTGGCGCCAAATTTCCTGCCTGCGTCGTCGTCTCCGCTGCCGTATCCCTGTGTGATTGGGCAGCAAGCGTCCCGATCCCGTGGTCTGACGTGGAAGGAGGAGAAAGAAGGCGCCATAGCTACGTCTCACCGACCACCTCCACTACCTGGAGAATCGCGGGGAAGGATTGCCTCCTCCTCCTCCTCCTCCTCCTCCTCCCCCTCCTCCTCCTCCTCTCCCTCCCCCTCCTACCAATCCTGTCATCATTCGTTTCCTGCAGGCATTGCTATTGGGAAATCCCTGTCAAAGAAGACTAATACCGAGGTGTCGCGGGCGGCTCTCTCTCTCACTACTGCCTTTCTCCCTCTTGCTCTCTCTTCCTCTGTTCCCTTTCCAGCCTCTCTCTCCCTCCCTCTCCTAATTACCCTCTCACTTCCCTTTTTCGCCTGGCTTCCGTCTTCCACCTCCCTCATCGCTCCTTTGTCCTCTTTCCGGCGCTTTTCCAGATGCCCTCGAAATGATCGACGGGGAGAATGGGGTAGCCGAATGAGGACGAGGGGGAGAAGGGGTGAAGGAGGAGGAGGAGGAGGAGTGGTGGGAGTGGGAGGTTGTGGCTGCGGTGCGTCTGCAGCCGGGCGCAGAAAGGGGGGAAGGGGGGGGAGGGGAAGCCTGCGCAGGGGCGGTGGAGGGGCGACGCATCCACAGAAGAGCAGCGGGACAAAATCCAAAAATAGACACCACCGTATCGCTCCGATGAAAAAATCGATCCGCGTGGTTGGCGCGCTGACGAGCGCGCGGCATCTCTGGCGGAGCTCGTGGCATGTGCTGTCGGTATCCCGACAATCCGTCTGGATCTCCGGCCGGCTCCTTTTTGCAAACGTTTCGCGCCATCTCTCTTGCCGCCAAAACCATAACCGCTCACAAAGCAGTTCGCGCCAAAATTTTGACTCGCGACGCGACGAAGAGGATAAGAAAGAGCACGTAGAGAAGGGCGCGGCGGAGGGGGAGGAGGGCGCGGAGGACGTCGACGCCCCCTGCGGGAGGAGGGATGCAGTTGCAGTATCGTCATTCTCTCTCTCTGCGGAAACCGGCGGAGGTTCCGGCCCCACTTTCATCAGCACGGACGACGAAGAGGACGAGGAAGAGGAGGAAGAGGAGGAGGAGGAAGGAAGAGGCACAAAAGGTATCACCCAACGAAGAATGAGAGAACAAGAATGGAGGAGGAAGGATGAAGAAAAAGTAGACATTGCCGCGCCGTCCATGGAAACAGCGATGGTGGATGATGAGGGGATGACTACTGCTAAGGGGAAAGGCGGGAAGGAGGATGTGGAGTTGATTGGTGCTGTTGCTGATGATGATGAGGAGGAAGGTAAGGGTTTTGCGCCGCGCGTCGGTGAAGGGAACGAGTTTGAATCCCGGTGGCACGTTCCACCGTCATTGAGGGATGATGACGTGGCAGCACGTGAGGCGACCATTCGAGGAATGGTCGCACGTTCTTCGATGGACGATGACTCGCCAGTGACGGCGACTTGCAATGGCAGCAGCAGCGGGAATGGACACGTGGCACGCGGGAGGAATGGACACGTGTCGCACTTCACAAACGACAAGCAGGTCGTGGACCTCGGTCTGGACAAGGGCGCAACGACAACGTGCTCTTCCGTCGAGCCCGCCGGCGCGTTCGGCGCGCAGGGGACACCTGCCGCTTCCGCACACCTCGACCTCGGTATGCTCAGTCATCGGGATCGGGAGAGAGGTGATAACGAGCCGTCGCTTCTCGTCTTCTCCGGTGCGTCTCTGTGACAAAACTCGATTTTTTTTCTGGCTGCCACGTTGGATTGACCCTTTGAATGATGATGATGATGATTGATTGATTTTGATTGATTGATTGATTGACTGATTGATTGATTGATTGATTGATTGACAAGCCGTGGGATCAAACCCCGGGGTCCACGTGTTGTGGGGCTTACGAGCACACGCACGCACGTGTTCTTCTTCTCCGTCCAGGTTCATTCTGTGAGAAGACACTCAGGCAAAGTGTTGATTGATTGACAGGTCAGGGAATCAAACCCCTACCTATCTACCTGCCTACCTACCGTTACCTACCGTTACCTACCTGCCTACCTACCGTTACCTACCTGCCTACCTACCGTTACCTACCGTAGATGAGCAATATGTACTGTTGACCTTCGTTTTTTTTTTCCTTTTTTTTTTTTTTGTTTTTTTTTTGGGAATTGACCTACGTACGCCCAGCAGTTAGGCAATGAAATCGTGGCACACTGAGTCACACTCAAAAAATCATGCCAAACGCATAACACGCGAGACAGCTCGTGGCTGTAATCATTAGCAATTTTTTTTTCCCCAACTACACTGTATTCTTTCCCCCCCTTTAATAATAGTTCAGTTTTTTAATTCTAAAATCATAGTAAAATGTGAATCAAAGGCGGGGTCGTGGTTGGGTATACTCGTCCTGTCATGTTTGTCGCATTGCAGAGACACCAGGTTGTCTTTTTTTTTCTGTTCGGAAAAGAAAAAATGTGAAATGTGAATGTAGTTGGAAATTCGTATTTCTATTTTTAGCTCAAAAATATAAGCAACCACCGTGTTGGACAGGTATAGAACTTTGTATTTCTATTTTTACCTCAAAAACAGCAGAAGAACGAAAAGGAAACAAATAATGCAGAATTTGTGTTTTATCTCGAAAGCAGTAATACAGGAATCTGAGAGGAATGAAAAGGAACAGATTAAAAATAAATAAATAAATATAGATAGAAAGAAAGAAAGAAAGAAAGGAAGAAATGATAACGACGGACATGGATGGGTGGGAAAGGGAAAAAAGAACATGGATTGACCAAGGAGAAAATAATGGAAGAGGGAGAAGCAGCTTCATGAAAGGGAGGGAGTTTTTTTTTTAGTATTAATTTATTAATAAATAATTTGGATCATTTCTCGATTTGTGCATCTTGTTATCCTTGCTTGCGCAGGGGCCATCTTATTGTTTTTCTTAATTAATATTTTCTGTATCGGGGCAATTGTAAGGGCGATTTTGAGGAAAAAAATAAAAAATTTCGAGTGTGATTTTGAAAATTTGTAATGTCCCGGAGGTCAGGAAGAGAAATTGTGCAAGAGAAAAATACAAATGTGAAATGAGAAAAAAAAACAGGTGATTGGGGATAACCACCCACCCCCAAAAAAGAAAAAAAAAGCTTCGAAAGGAGAGAAAGGAGCTAGGCCACCAGCCGGGCCGCCCGGGGCACCTTATTTGCGCGGGCTGCCCGACAGTGCGAGGACCACAGAAGGTTCCAGCAAAAAAAAAAAAAGAAGTCCGAGAATTCGTATGAAACATTATATTATGCAGAAAAATAAACTGAGCAAGTTTTGTGTCAGGGTCACATCGAAATTCTTTACCCAAAAAAACTTTTTTTTTTTTTTTTTTTTTTTGGACCGGGCCGGGCAAGTTGTCTCGGGGCCACTCTGGTAGCCTAGGAAAGGATTAATAAAAAAACTTGGGAAACTGCATCTGTACCCTGTTTAAAGCCTTTCAAAAAAAAAAAAAAAAGGGAATTCCCTTTCGAAAAAAAAAGAAAAAGGGAATTCCCTTTATACCCAGTCCCAGTGCCCAATTTGCATCTATACCCAGGAAATGGCCTGTGAAAATGATCAATTATTCATAGTTGTCCATACCCCGTTACCAAGGTTGGTACCGCCAAATTGCGGTTATACCCAACTGCCGGAATTCTCAAATTACACACATACCCTGGGCCCGTTTCCCAGATTATAATTTGATTTGTTAAAAGAAAGAAAATAAAAGAAAAATTACACAACCCCGGCGAAATCACGTGCATAGTAGCATACTAAATTTTGCGTGCCCTAAAAAAGAAAAAAAGAAAAAAAAATCCTGCCCCGTTTCAGAGCGCGGCGCAGCCCTCGTTAAGGTGAGCCGACCAACTGGCGTACCTTCTTCCGCCGAATCCAACGTACGGTGATTATAGCTGTATTAGGGGTATGTTTCAGTCTAAATACAGTTATAACGACCATACGTTGTATTCGGGGGAAGAAGGTAGCTCAGTTGGTAAAACCCTGACCTGTTGAAATACAGACCTGAGTTCGAACTCTGCTTTTGTAAACATTCTCATTTTGTGAACTGCTGAGAAAAAAAGAAAAAAAAGAAGAAAAAAAAAAGAAAACTGACCTGAGTTCGAACTCTGCTGCATGCAGCTGAGTAAAAAAATACTCCAATTCTGAATTACCTGCTGGTAGGGCAGGTCAGTTCTCATTCTCATTTTGCAAATTTGGGGGTTAGTGGATCGAGGGCCAATCTTGGGCCTTAACTTTCACCCCAGTCCACGTTGCCGTTTTCCTGGGGCTTAACTTTCACCTTGCCTTCTTCTCCCCAATGCCCGAATACAATGTACAGGCTCATTATAGCTGTATTTAGACTGAAAGATGGCCCGAATACAGCTATAATAGTGATGTAGTGACCGGACGTTGTATTGGGGGAAGAAGGGTAGTCCCTCTTGAGTGTCTGGTTTCCCAAGAGGGAGGCCGCGGCCCGTTCGATTCTTGTGAGGTGATGTGATCGACTGGTGAGATGTTTTCCCGAGAGTGATTAGGGGATCGAGGCCCAATGTGTCACGTTGGTGACAACCCTGGAGCAGGTGGTGGTCCCCACCAATAAGATCGAGTGGGTGGTGCAACAGTCAGCCAGCTGTTTGCCGTTGTTACGGTGTGCACCTGACGGGACCCTTGGGCCTGGGTTCCCAGCAGGTGGTGGTCCCCACCAATACGATTGGAGCCTCAAGTAAGGGCTTACTGGTAGTTGCACTTCCCCCCGTCCACCAAGAGTTTGAATGCATCTGGCCAAAATGATGCCCATATGCATTCAAGATGTCGGCGCCAAGAGTTTGAATGCATCTGGCCAAAATGATGCCCACATGCATTCAAGATGTCGGCCGATGGCGATCAGTGCAACTGCTAGGCCCTATACCGAGGGACTTTATCCTCATCCTTTTTTTTTTTTTTTTTTTCCCCCGGATCTGCTCATCTTCCAGAGCTCTTCTTCTTTGTTGTAGTCATCATGGGCAAGATAAGAGGAGGTGTTCTGGTGTTTCCCTTAGCCTTATTCTCCTCTGCGGGAAAGCTGATTGACATCTCTTACACCATGGAAGAATTAAACCCTTCGGCTCCAGATGGGTATGGTCCAACCAGCCAATCCCTAACAGGCAGACACCTGTTATCTGGTGATAATTGTCCTTCTCCTCCTCGTTCTTCTCCTCCTCCTCCTCCTCATAAGTATTGTCATCATCAGCCTCTTCTTCTTTTGCTAGTGCTCCTCCTTTTCCTCTCGTCAAAATCATCGCAATCTTCGGCCTTCTTCGCCTTGTGGGCCCGGTTTGCCAGTAGGGATCCCGGAACACACTGCACCCTCTTCGTGAATGAATACAAGCTGTATGCACGGTCAGATGCAGTCACGATGAGGGTGTGTTCTGTCTGGGGAAAGATGGAAGATGGTGGTAGCAGCGGCATCTAGTCGGCTTGCACACACGCCCTTGGACAACCATATGACGATCTAGCTGAATTTGGCCTACATTGCACTCTAGATACGGCTATATTTAGTTAATGGCTGCAGCCAGACAACCATATGACTATCTTCTAATGGCTGCAGCCAGATATCTCAGCTTGTGCAATGGTAGGGAGTATGGCTGGGACTGGCCTACCGTCTTCACCCGAATAGAACGCCCGGTCATTATAGCCGTACCTGGACTGAAAATTGCACCAGATACGGCTATAATGACCGGGCGTTCTATTCGGGTAAGACGGTAGTCAGTAGCAGCTTATCCACTGGTGGGGAACTGTGCAGGGCTGTTCCTTGGGACTGATACTGGTGGGAACTATGAGTGGGACTGCTACTGGGACCGACACTTCCTGCTCAGCAGCAGCAGCAGCAGTTATCTAGTCGTGGGAATTATGTCTGGGACTGTCTTAGTCAGCAGTGCTTATCCACTGGTGGTGGGGGGGGGACTATGTCTGGGACTGGGACTGGGACTGGGACTGGGACTAGCACTGTTCTAGTCAGCAGCAGCAGCAGCAGCTTATCCACTGGGGGGAAGTGTGTCTGGGACTGTCCTGCTCAGCCGCAGCTTCGTCATTGGTGGGAACTATGTCTGGGACTGTGAATGGGACTGGGACTGGGACTACCACTGTCCTAGTCAGCAGCAGCTTCTCCACTGCTGGGAACTATGTCTGGGGCTGTGATTGTTACTGGGACTAGGAACTATGTCTGGGACTCTGATTGTACTGGGACTAGGAACTATGTCTGGGACTCTGATTGGTACTGGGACTAGCGCTGTTCTAGTCAGAAGCAACTTATCCACGGTTGGGAGCTCTGTCTGGGACTGTTAGTGGGACTGGTACTTCGCCCCGTAGTTGGCAGCAGCTTAACTGGTGGGAACTCTGTCTGGGACTGTCCTACCTGTACATTTTCCCCCAAATAAAACGTACGGTAAATTTAGCCGTATCTAGAGTGAAATGTGGGCCAAATTCAGCTAGAATGACCGTACGTTTTATTCGGGGAAAGAAGGTAGTCAGCGGCAGTTTATTCAGTGGTGGGCGCTTATGTCTGGGACTCCGAATGGGACTGGTGCTAGCACTGTCCTAGTCAGCAGCAGCTTACCCACTGCTGGGACCTCTGTCTGGGACTGTTACTGGGACTTACTGGGACTTACTGGGACTTACTGGGACTGTGACTGGGACTGTTACTGGGACTGACACTTCCTACTCAGCAGCAGC